TGTGTCTGTCTGTGTGTGTGTGAGAGAGAGAGAGAGAGTGAGAGAGAGAGAGAGAGAGTGTGTGTGTGTGTGTGTGTGTGTGTGTGTGTGTGTGTGTGTGTGTGTGTGTGTGTGTGTGTGTGTGTGTGTGTGTGTGTGTGTGTGTGTGTGTGTGTGTGTGTGTGTGTGTGTGTGTGTTACCTGACAGGTGCTCCTCTGCTCTGAGCGGGTTTCAGCAGCACGGTGACAGTAGAGTCCGTCTGGTTCAGAGGAGACTCCTGATCGTACGCCGGCATCAGAGGAGCTGTAAGTAAAGTAAGAAAATATCGTACAACCTCTCGACATGACCTCGATTAAAATTAGACTTATTGTACAATAAATGTGGACATTACCTCAAGTATTTTAACTTAATTACCTCGAGTGTTTTAACGTAAGAAACATCGTACAATCTCTAGACATGACCTCGATTAAAATGAGACTTATCGTAGAATATATGAACATGACTTTGATTGATTAAGAAATTCTCGTACGATATATATGGACAAGACTGTGGTTATTTTAACGTAAGACATATCGTACAATCTCTCGACGTGACCTCGACTAAAATCACCCTTAGAGTACGATATATATGAACATGAATTTCATTTTTTTAAACGTAAGACTTATGGGACGATATATGGACATTACCTCAAGTGTTTTAACGTAAGGTTTATTGTAATATATATTTAAATAACCTAGGTTATTAACTTATCGCACAATTTAGGGACCCGATCAATTCAAGACTTGTCGTACGTTATATGGACATGACCTGGATTATTTTAGCGTACGATTTATCCTAATATTCATGGAGAGGACGTTAATTATTCTAAAACAGATCGTACAATTTCTGGTCAATATCTTGATTACTTTATCGTAAGACTTATTGTTTGATCAATGGACGTTACCTCAATTATTTCAGACTTAGTTTATGACTATCTCATCATTATCGTACAACATCTGCGCATTAGCTCGATTATTTTAAGACTTATTGCTCGATTTATGGGCATTACCTAATTTTGTCCCAATGAATATTGACTATGCACTCTTATTTTGAAGGGCTCACCTGAGGCCCCTTGTATGATAACTGTTCCCAAAGCCTTTGATCGTTAACTTCCTGTTTTATTGTGAAGGGCTCACCTGAGATCTTGGTGGTGAACTGCGTGATGACGGGCGGCCCGAAGCCTTTGACGGTTGACGCTCTTATTGTGAAGGAGTAGGTGGAGCCTGGGAAGAGGCCGCTGAACACGTGGCTCGTCTCATTGGCCGGTTTGAACACCTTCCCGCTCTGATTGGACAAATCGAACTCCGTGTCGAAAGAGCTCAGAGCTTTGTAGGAGATCTGAGGAAGACAGGGGATTGTGGGTAATGGTGTTTTAGTGGTTATTTGCAGAGGTGGGAAGTAGTGCAGTACAAATACTGTTACTGTACTTAAGTACATTTTTCTGGTATCAGTACTTTACTCCCCTACTTATTTTTCTGACCACTTTTTACTTTGAAT